ATTTAGAACTCCTCGCAAGCTACAGAGACTCGTATGACTTTGACCCAGCAAGGGGTGGCCTTTGACTGGGAAGTTACGCAAGAAAGGGAACCTTTGAGATTCCAAGTGAGTGACCAAGTTCTTTAGAATAACTCACTTTGGGAATGGCTTAATATGCTTCGTAAAGCGTGGAAAGCTAAATCCAAGTTAGACAGGACCTCAGAGATTCTTATCAGAATCGGTCCTGTGCCTCGCACAAACTAGACCTACTCCGCGAACTCAGTAACATACTTTCTACTCTTCGCATCTCGATCGTGAAACTATACCTTTCCGTTAGGACTCTTGCAAGTCCACTCGTCGAGATCCTCGCCTTCGTATGAGAACCGTCGTCTCCAGTTAGTGAAGGTTCGTTGGAATGACAACCGAGAGCCCAATTTCACTTAAGTGCGCTAGAACCAATCGATTAGGAAATTTTCTCCTCACGACTCGATCATTCGTGCATACTTCCTTGCCTAAATTCTAATTTCGGGACGAAATTCCCTTAAACAGGGGGATGATGTGACAACCTGAAATTTTCCATTCTAATCAAACAATTTCAATCCAATAAAAGTAGAGCAGTTACAATGAAAATTCAGACTTAGAATATAAGTTTGGCAGTTTTAGGGTTTTACACCAAAAAGGGGTATTAGGAGAGTGGTTGCACTAGGATTTTGTGCAACACTGTAAATTCCATTACCCTGGATCATTAGAATCCATTCCGAGAATAGAAATATTTTCTGCCAAAAATCTCAGGACTATAAATAGAATTCTGAACCAAATTGGTTCATTAGTTGAATTCCATTTAGAGAAAAGCCCATTTCTCTCTCACGGATCTTCGGGTTTTCATCCCAGATTGTGAGTCTACTTCCCTAGATGTGTTTTAATACTTGTTATATGCTTAATAACATTATTTACATGTCCAAAACACAAGATCCGGGAGCTTACGGCCCAAGAACGTTCTTGGAAGTGTTACCCTAGATTTAAGGTAATAGGTACGGTTGTAGTTCGGCACTACACCATAGTACTACATTGATTTTCCATTACATATTTTTAGTGATAACCTCACTTAAACATTAATGTACAAACTATATTTTTGAATAATGATAGTTATACTTTGGAAAATACATCCTCTTACAAGAGACACACACACACACAGAACAGTTAGGTCTTGGTAGAGGACACCTTCATATACTAGAAGGAATCATCGGGATTCTAGGGTTTTTCAAGCGTTTACAGTTGCTTCATATACATTTTCAAAACTTACAGTTCATATACATTTTCAATACTTACAATGCGTATACATACAAATACTTACATTTCAAATACATACAAGTATTTACATACAAATTAAGACACTAAAATACTTATGATCTCACCAGCTTCAAAGCTGATACTCGCTTTCAAAATTACTTGTATCCTCAGGTCATCATAGACAGGTACCGATGCAAGGAGAAAGGAAGATGGAGCTTGTTCAAGACTTATATTTCATTTTGATTTATGCTTTAGTGTTTATCAAAATTTGACAGAACACATTTTTATAATAATTATAATATTAATGCAATGGATGATGTTGTTGCTTGTTTACTACTTTACATTGTTGTTGATATTATACATGACGTCCTCCGCCCCAGAACGTTTCCGCCGTTCCTGGTTTTGGGGTGTGACATTGTGTGTGTATTAGTTAGTGTGTGTATTTTGGATGAAAGTCTTGTAATTGTAATTATCATGTAATAATGAAAATAATAATAGTAACCACTACCAAAAGGTGGTGGCCGCCGCCGTGAGCCGTCATTGACCACCACTACCCGAGGCGGAAGTGAGTGGTGCCCCAAAAGCAAACCATGGACCTAGCAAGACCTAAATGGGCTTAAAGACTTATTTAGGCCTATTGGGTCGTGTTTGAGTGAAAAACCCTAATTGTAAGTATTTGGGCCTTGGACTTATTGGACCCACTTTTGGGTCACTGAGATTGGATTGTGTATTAAGCCCAATTTCTCCATATCAATTACGTAGTAGAGTAAAGGACTTAATGGATCAAGTCCTTAATGGGCTAAGTGAGAAAACCCTAATATTCACTTGGGCTTTGTGTTGGGCCATCCATGAATAATCAAATTTACTAGGGTAATAAGTTGGGCTTTAAGGTAAGGCCCATATGAAGGATTGGGCCCAATTTGGAAAATTGGGCCATAGATAGGCCATAGTTTGGGCCTAGATGGTTGTATGATATTGGGCCCTTAGAATGAGGCATGTTGGACTGGACTGAATGATTGGGCCTTAAGGGAAGTCCATGTAAAGGTTTGGGCCTAATTTGGAAAATTGGGCCATAGTTGGGCCTTGGTCCATTATTAGACTTTTAGGCCTTTGGTTTGGGTCTTGGGCTTGAGTTGCGCTAGGATATGGTAAAGTAGTCTTTTACCTAAGTATGGACTTATTGTTATGAGTTGGAACCCAATTATTAATTGGGTGTTATTTTGATATTGACAGATCGGGAATCTGTTATCCAGCAGCTATGGTTTTGTCAGCAGGACTTCAGCAGTGTGAGGTGAGTTTCCTTCCAGTAGGAACGGGTCTACGGCCACAATGCCGACCCGTTTAGATTATAGTAGTTCAGTATGCTTGATATATTTGTGATTCATGAATGTTTATGTTATGTTTATGTTATGCTATGTTCAGTCATTTCCGGACTTCGGTCCGATGCAGTGGCAAGGCCCTAGTTAGTTCCGGACTTCGGTCTGATGCAGTGGGAAAGGCCCAAGTTAGTTCCGGACTTCAGTCCGATGCAGTGGGCGAGGCCCAAGTTATTACAGACTTCGGCCCGATGCAGTAGGCGAGGCCCAAGTTATTCCAGACTTCGGTCCGATGCAGTGGGCAAGGCCCAATATTTGATGTATGTGTTATTGTATGGTATGTGGTAGTTTTGGGGAGCTCACTAAGCTTTGTGCTTATAGTTTCAACTTTGGTTTCATGTACTCAGTTTTCAAAAGACGAGCTCGGGAAGATTGTAGTGCACAAAACCATCTGTTCAGCCTGGGATGTTTATACTCTGATATCTTGAGATACATTGTTTATGATTTTTATATGACGTTTGATGACTATGGTTTTATTATTAAATTAAAACAAAATTTTTAGACTGTATTTCTGGGATGTTACACTACTACCCTCTTATACTATCTAACATAACAAACTGGTAATATAAAATGTCCAAAATGCCCCTAATTCCTCTACACTAAACAAATGCTCCTTATTTGTTGATTTCCCCAAACTACCCCTATCTAAACAATATCACCGAAGAGGGTGCATCCCATGCTGACAGTTGTTGCATATGTATTGGTGTCTTTGGTTTCCACTGTGACATGTATTGTGGTTGCAATGAACTAAACAACTGAGGTTTTTGAGGGAGATCAAATGCAAACAACTTTTCACGAACCACTGTATAAGAAAGTGTAGATTGATTCTGCGGTTTCCAAATCAAATTGTTCTTGATTGAAAATCCAACTCTTTTATCACCTTTATGTTCAGAAAACTCCACAATTGTTGGAAGCATGTCGTACTCTTCTTTACTGTTGCCGACAACATCCTTTTCTTTAATCGTGGAAGACTTCACCTTGACTCCTCAAGCAACTTGGTTAAGTCTTCCATTTTCTTGGGAGATGAAGATTCTTGCGTTTTAAGCACACTGAATTCTTGATCAAGACCCTGCAACTCATTTCCTTTATCAATTAAGTTATCTTGTAAGCTCATACTTTTAACTTTTGTCTCACCAAGAACATCCTTAGAATATACAACTTCATATTCAACTCCCTTCAAAAGATTATTCCACTGAGTTCTTCCTTCTCGAGACTCATATTTAAGAAAATTTGTTAACCTATGTATCTCGTTTCCAATGAAACATTTTCTTTATCTTGTTCATCACAATTCATCCCTTGTACCTCTTTTTTTCTTAGCTTCTTCCTTTTTTGAAGATCCTAACTTGCTCATGAGTGCAATCTTTCTTCTAAAAGCGTTCGAATATTGCTAGCAGTAAGTTCCTCATCGTTCAATGCATGTGTTCTTTTCTCTTTCACATTCTCAAGCTATGATTTCAAAAATTTAGCTTTCTCAATAGCAGGGACTACACCAGCAACCACAATCTGTTTATCTAATGTAAAGGAATAACCATAGTTTGCTAGAACACTTTCCCCCACCGCTACTATTTCCCCATAGAACATGTCTAAATCAGAAACCAACATGAATGGAATTAATTTCTCCTGTGCACAATTTGCAAAATATTCTGAATCATTCTTAGCAAGAATTGATAAAGCACTTGAGGTCAGTTCTCTCAATCCTTTATCCAACCGACATATTTTATTAGATAGAATTTCATCCACAATATCACGTATATCATGTATATGTGACCTAATACTATGTGGACCTCTTTGTATACGATAATGCAGTACAACAGATGTGACTTTAGGAAGGCTAATAGAAAATAAACACCCATCATGCCATGACCCGTAACCCTTACCAAGTGAAGAAAGAAGTTCTAATATTGACAAAAAGACTTCCTCTTCAAGGGTATATGTAATATGTGAGGTTAGATGCCCTATATCTTTCGCAACAGAATCCTTGGAAGACACAAACGTCGATGTAGGTTCCAAGGTTGAGAAAGAGGTTATCGTGTGAATTGGATCAACTGTTGTCCTCGAAGGGTTCTTAGTTGTCACCATTTTTATCTGACATGAACTTAATTGTTCCTCTAGATTAATTTCCAAATACTCGGTCTGGTCTAGATTCTACGGGCCATATCTATTATTTTAGCCCAATTGTCTATTTTAAGCCGATGTTGGCGAAACCTTAGAAATGTTACCTCTGTTACCTCTTTTAACGGAGTCGTTACCTCACATATTGCGACCTGAGAAGACATCTCTAGCTTCCGGCGATCCCTAATCCCCCCCCCCCTATCTTAGTTCAAAATCGAATCTATCTTCCTATTGTTCTTAGCTTTAGATTCTGATGGTGGTGATGATGATGACGGGGGGTGGTCTGCCGGTATGAATTTGGCTGAATTCTTCCGATATAGTGGAACAACACTTCTCTCTTGATCTATCGTTTGTTACAGCCACTGCCTCTATGAGGTTCCATTGATGTGTTTCGACCATTGAGCATTTATATTGACAATGAATCAACCCTTTTAGATCCTCCCAATCACGTATGGGTCGCCTTCGATGCTCCCATTCATACCACAGGAGGACGTCGTCTTTTAGAGACATCAATGCGGCTTCCCGCTTGACTTCTTCATACGAGTAAAATAACATTTTAACATTAAAAATCCACTCCTCTATATTAGTTCCATCAAACAAGGTCATCTCATGTTTGTGAAATCTCCAGTTGGTCCCTCCTTTGTAATCCCCTCCGGTAGTATGGCCACTGCCGAAACCACCTCATATTCCATTTCTTTTCTTGAGCCTGCACTGGATCCTATACCAATAGGGTTTGTCCCCTTCCTTGTCTCTACCAACGAAAAAAAATAAGGTCGCTATTGTGCTTTTCTCATACCAATTTCTTTCCATTTGGTTCTTCTGGGTGGCTCTTGTCTATGGCCATCAAAAACTCTTCGAACTTCTGGTCCATCTTTAGCCGAAGAAAGGCTATCGAGTTAGCCTGATGTTGGATCTGACACCCTTGATTCTCCATTCGATCATACAACTACCCTATTTCTATTTCTAGCAATTGAATCCTCTTGAGTAGAGCTCCTCCAGTATCCTTCCTTCCTCCTTTATCTCCAACCATAATCCCAACCATGATCGTGAATGCTCTGATACCAATTTGTTATGAACTGGTTATTAATAACAAATTCAATAACATAAAAACAACCAAATGATTCTTATATGATTGAGAACACTCTATAACACCCAAAAGATTACAAGAACTAATGATAGGTTAGCTGATTCAAGATAGCCACTATCCCAAATTTCACAAGATAGACTTACCCCTCACTCTCATTCCCACTACTCTCTTATACTATCTAAGATAACAAACTAGTAATATAAAAATACCCAAAATGCCCCTAATTCCTTTGCACTAATAAGATGCTCCTTCTTTATAGATTTCTCCAAACTACCCCCGATCTAAACAATATCGTTAAAGAGGATGCATAACATATTTATATAATTGTTTTTATAACCAATACACCCTATAAATCTTATTTTTAAACTGCACTAAATCATTTCTTTAACTCTATTTAATGAATGAGAAAATTTATTTATCTCCATTTTTTCTTTGGTATTACTTGTAAAAATAAATTACTTAAATGAGCAAATAGATAGCCATTAACATTAACCTTATTTTGACTTGGTCCAGAAAAAGTATGATTGGTAGAACTTGAATGTTAATGGATAAACATGGTAAGCATTTTGGAAATGACAGGGATTATCATTGAATGACATCCTAATGCACACACAAAAAAAAATTAAAAAATTAAAAAAAATTAATAGAGATTAAAAAAGAACATAGTATTTTTTTTATTTATATAACATCAGAAGACCTCTGCTTCTTTCATTTTCAATCTCACAGAAAATTGTTTTAAGCATCGTCCCACCAGGCATCATCTAATAAGAAGCCATATCAGTTATAATTTACCCCAAAAAAAAAACAAGAATACTTCATGTGTTTAGTACCAAATGGATCCATCCTGCTTCGGCATCGTATAATCTACATTAAAAGGAGCACCAAACACCATCTTGAATCCGCCTTGCTGAACATTGCACTGATCAAAATGGTGACCTTGTTGCAGGTTCGAATTTGCTTCAAATACATGGTGGAGAAAGTTGTCGCCTTGAAATCGGGTACCCGACTGCCCAAAAAACGATTCATTTCGACCCGCTATATTTCTGGAATCGGCCTTACTGTTGTTCTCTTGAATATTATCATCATAAAATGACATCAAATCGTTGATCATCTTTTGCCCGTCTTCAGGAACACCAAGAACAGAAACATCGAAAGGCTGCTTAATCTCATTCAAATGGAAGTTCGGAACCCTAGAAACCCCCACAAACGGTGATTGATCGTTGTTTCTATAAGGGCAGTTCAGTCCATGATTATCTTTTGAAATCCGATCAAGAAACCCATGAAAAGGTTGATTATATGGGCATTTTGGGAAATCGCAGGTGTAAATCTTGTGATCCATGGCTTCTGATGGAGTCGGAGGAGATTTCCGCTTTCGATCTTGGTAATTTAGTATCCCTAAATTACCCGGTTTGATATCCTGAATTTCAAAATCGGATTCGGGTCGAGGTTGAGTTTCTACGTCATACTCACCAGCGTCAAAAGATCCGGTCCAGCCCGATGACATAACCGGCGGTTCCGGCGGGCACTGGTTAGGGTAAAGTTCTCTAGCCAATGTTTCCTCCTGGTTAACGACGGCGAGCCACGTGGCACTCTCTTTCGCAGTCATCTTATCCTGTAAACATTTCGATTGTCGTACGAGCTTCCTGATTTTATCGACGTCGGGAAACATATGCTTGATAACCGCCGTCAAAACGCCGACTTTCCACGCTTTTTTTAAATCGTGAGGCTTCTTGTAAGGCGGCGGACCGGGTTGGTCCTTCTGTAAACCCAACTCCGGCCACCAGTCTTCGTTTCCGGTCGGCCACCATGGCGGCGGCACACCTTTTTCCAACGGAAACCGTCGCTGCGGCGGGTCGCAATGCTGCATGAGAGCAGATAGCAAGGAGCCGAGAGTTGTGTCCTGAAGTTCCTGTAATGAGTGTGGTGTCGACCCAATTGAACTCGTCTTCTCGTTCTCTCCGGCGATCGAATTATCTGCTTGAAACTTGGCGGCGGCTGCCGGCCCGTTCCTGTCGAATCGGACTTTATCTTTCCACCATTCACGTAGGTTATCGGATGCGCCACTCACTGGCTTTCCTTTTTCTGGTATAATCCCGTAAACGAAACCTTGAGCTTTGCAGACTTCCATCATCTTCAACATGTATTTTAATATCCCATCTTGAGCTCTGGACATCTTCTTCCTCCTCGCCTGCTCTTGGGACTGGCGTTGTTTTGCTGTATCCATGTTTTCTTTAGTGTTGCATGATTCTTTGAGCTTTTTAAGTTTCATTTTATCTCTCCACATTCGTCTTTCTAGCTCATCCACGTCGATTTCTTCATCTGTGAAATCGTCATCCACCATCGTCCCGGTTTCAGTTGGGAGAGAACTAATCTCTCCTTGCGCATTTTGAGCACAGAAAACGTTAAGTTGCTCGCAAAATCCCATTTCATCAAACATATGCATCTCCTGATTCTCAGCCAATCTAAAATCATCAATTTAACCTAAAATTAGATTAAACAGCATCTAATACAATAAATGAACATCCAAATTTTACAAAATATTGGTTGCTACAGATTAAAAACACCTATAATCATGAATGGTGGATCTCATCAGATAATAGAAAAGACTATCAGAGCAACCATTTCTCAATCTGATCAGGGCAAAGAAATGATCCGTAGTACTTTCGTTGTTGTGAAACAATACAAATCTTTGCACGAATGCAATTTTTTTAGTGAGATAAACAACATACACGGTCAATTTTAAGAAAAATATGAATTCATAAAGGTTACCAGATTTTAAGACATCTTGATACAGAACCACGATCTAACTTTTGCTCTATGAATAAAAACAAAATAGCGAACCATAATTCGACTTGAAATGATTGACAGACAAAGATCTTATAACATTTTCAAATAAACCAAACGAATTCAATCAAATAGAATTCAAACAAGCAAATCATATCCAACTTCAACGTATTTAATCAATCCCAGTGGTACTTGTACACATAGAATCGAAATTAACATCATTCCAAACGAGTAATTAAACAAAGCAAACGCATCATACGGACTTCAATTTATCAAAATCTAAATCGAACGTTCAATCACACAAGTTTAAACCCTTACCTGAATGGTGGGTTTGATTCTTTTTTCTCCTGGAGACCCCTTTACAAAGTTTATAGATGAGAGAGAAAGAAAAGGGGTATTCTTGTAGTTTGTACAGATGTGTGTAAGCATTAACTAATATATTAATGGGTGATGAAGTATAGGGATGTGAAAAGTGTCGGCGATTGCTAAAGTAAAGGCAGATGAAACAGATGCGATGGAAGGGGAGCAGATAATATTATTTATTGTTAGAGGGGCCAGGTGAATTCAATGTGAAGTTTGTAAGAAAACTCCATGGCGATGTGAAGAATAAATTACCAAAATCATGGTGTTGGGCCGTGTATGAACCCTGAAAAAATGGGCATTGGAAGTGGCAACGAACATGGAGCTGACAAGCGTTTTGCCCGACCCCAAATAATTGCGACACTTTTTACTCTTATCTTTGTATAGATATGCTCAAAAAGCAAAAAGTACTTAACCATAGGGAGCCAATTCTTCCTTTAAAAGATACTTTTTTTGAACCCCAATTATTGGTGCATTGGTTTTTTAACTTTTATTTTAAAATGGAGTTGAAAATAGTTCGAATTTGATATCATAGTATTTAGATACATAGTATTTAGATACATGTGAATTTTTTTGTTATCCAAATATTTTTTAAGGTATCTTTAACGTATTTGAGCCGTGGAGACGATGCGTATAAATTAAACTTCATAGTGTGTTTTTTGAAGACTGCGTATTTAAAAGGGTTTGTACGTCTTTTTCTTGACGTAAATGTGGATCTGAATCCTCTAACTTTTTCAGACATCTTTTAATCTAAAAAAACATATATCTTTGTTTTTCTTTTTTTGTTTTTTTAGCTTAAATTTATTCCAATTTTATCTTTGATAAACAATTTTTTTTTTAAAGTTACAATACTTAAAGAAAAGCTTTTCGATAACACAGTCATGAGCTTTGTGAAAATTTGAAAAACAAATATTTAATTACAATAATGATCATTAGAGCAGTTTATATAGATATGAAAAAAATCATAATATTATCTTATTTTTTTTGTGTTAAATTTTATAAAACATTATTTAATGCAGTATAATTTATTTCTTGGAAAAAATATTTATGTCTAGTTTTTAATTGATTTGATTGAAAATGTAAAGTAGAAATTTTGAAAATTTTCATTTAAAATCTAAATTTATTTTCATCCGTTTTATGTGTTGAGTTCTTTTATCCATAATTACAATGTTTATATATAACTATACGACCAAAGTTTGTTGGTTTTTATCAAATATATACGTTAATCCTTACCTGATGCAACATGGTCATCAGACGATAACGTTGTACGTCTCTGATGATTCTGATGAGCCAGTGAGGTCACAACGAGAGAGAACCATTAGCC